TATATTCATGTAACGTAACCCCCAAATTATATATTTATACAACCCCATATTATGTATTTATATAACCCCACATTATATGCTGTTAAGATGGGAGCTGGCTGCGGGCCACTGGACCCGGAAACCCCCTCCAGCCCACATTGCTTCCCCCAGCTCGAAACTCCCTCAGAAGTGGCAACCCACAATATCAATAAATCTAGGAAACATCAATTAGGTTTTATCAATTATATTAAATCATGGCAGGAAAAAGTTACAGTTTACAGCGCTGGTCTCTCCGGTCTGCGACGCGTTCACAAACCCGGAAGAGCCCCTATGTCCCGTGTCATTACTCATTTATAGTGTCCTAGACTCATCCTTCATAAAAGGGGACCTCACTTCACCACTTGCTCTTGCCGAGGTCAGATGCTTCTCCCCTCCCTCTCTGCTTTGCTTTGCTGCTCTGTCTGCCTGTGAAACTGCTTGTGAGACTCTCTTGCATATCTTCCGAACCATAATTATGGACTTGTTTTCGTCAGTTGGTCCCTCAATCAATTTACAACATTTGTTTGAAGAGAAGACAGGCTTTAGGCGAGTCGATTTGCCCTATTGGCACGCACGCAGCTGGATATCTCATCAACTTGGAAGACTTGATGATGTGTCTATCTCTGCTGCCATTTGTGGATTTTAAGGATTCATATTTAATTGGATTTACAATAACTGGTTCCTGCTTTTTGGATTTGGCTGGTTGCTGGTTTTATCTACAATCAAGGAAGTCATCAGCAGCAAATTTTGGATCCGATCACGCTGCTTGCTTTTATGATGGCTTGGTTCATGTCTCGAGAACCCAGACTCAAATGCTTTGGGCAGAATGGATCAGATCTCGGGGATTTTACTCAGTGATGTTCTATCGGTGTGACCATGTAATTTGGACATTTTGGAACCGAGTGGGCCAACACAGACTCAAGGTAGATGTCATTAAGTTCTGCCTGTCCCCAAAACAACTGTGTGTTTATCCGAATTTAGTTCCCTTGGCTGGCCTTGAAGGTCATCTTATCTGAATTCGCCTGGAGAAAATGTGATCTGACGCTCACTACCTCCTCCCTGAGGAATTTCCAACTGATAACCAGATGAAACCAGCTGAATAAACTTTGTGTAATCATTTCAGGACTCTTGGATTCTCATAGTCGTTATTCTTGGCCATTCCTCGACATACCTCGAGAATGTTTATGGATCTCACCAGAGGACATTGACTGATTATTACATCTTTATCAGAACTCTTACAATGCCCTCGAGGGCATCTATGATCATGTTCACTGCTCTCGCCTCCCCCCGCAGAATATCTACGTCACTATGTGCTTGTTTGTGCAAGGTGTTTTTTTAATATCAGAGTTTTTTATTCTCAGGCAGGAAAAAAAAGTCTGACAAGAATTTTTTCGCCTCCAATTCCCACGTGTCCAGCTTATCACTTTTATTGTCTGTCCAAACAGGTCTCATTTGTAAATGAGTCTTTGAGGCTCAACATGACTTAGCTGTTTAAATAAAGGTTGAATGAATGAAAAAAAATGTCAGTATATGAGGGGGCGTGACTAAGTGTGATCTCAATGGATCTTATGTGGACTGACATGTTAGGAAATATGAGACGGTGCTTCAAAAGGCCTTTCTACGTGATGTGGTAAGCAGAAATAAACTCTATTCCTTGATGGATATTGGATTCCAGGGAGACATTTTTTAGAGTTGCCGGCCCAGTTTAACCCAGTCAGAACCAGGTTATAATTTCATTATAATCTCGTCTCTGAGCAGATCAAAACACCTGGACCAGTCTAGATAAAAATATCCAACAACAGTCAACAATGGTGTACCACAAGGCTCAGTCTTAGGACCCACCCTCTTTACAATCTACATAGATAATGTAGGTCAAAACATCCCTGATGCATCTAAAAAAGTTAAATCTGGTCCTCTGGACATTCAAAAAAAAAAAAAAACAAAGCAAAACAACAAAAAAATGTAGAAACGTTTCGTCTTTCATCCGAAAGACTTCCTCAGTCTGAGGAGCTGTATTCAGCTCAGTCTTATAAACAGCACCTTCTCAGAGTGGATCAACCAGTTTTGCTGCTGACAACCAAAACCAGCTGCTCACTTGCTCAAGAAGGACCATTGGCCTAACAATGGATCATTAGCACCTGATGGCTGTTCACTGTTCACAGAGGGCTGAGTGATACTAGCAATCACAGCATTGTAAGAGGGGGACAGTTGAACCTGGAGGCTCCACCCCTGTTTAACGATGGACGATTTCTTTTCACAAAGATGGCCTCCTTTACTCCTCTCTCAAACCATCGTTCCTGTCTATCCAGGATGTGAACATCTTCATCCCTGAAAGAGTGACCTCTGGCCTGGAGATGAGTGTAGACCACAGAGTCCTGGCCTGATGATGTTGATCTTCTGTGCTGGGCCATCCTTTTGGCCAGTGGCTGTTTAGTTTCCCCGATGTAAGACTGATCACCCTCCTGACACTGAACAGCATACACAATATTACTCTGTTTGTGCCGAGGGACTGGATCTTTTGGATGAACCACTCTTTGCTGTAATGTATTTTGGGGTTTAAAAGCCACTGGGGCGTTATGTTTAGAAAATAAGCATTTCAGTTTCTCTGATACTCCCTCAACATATGGAATGACCGCTGGACTGGGTCTGGATTCCTCCTTTTCACCTGTTGGCTGACTGGAGTCCTGTTTGGGTTGACTCCAGTCAGCCAACAGGTGAAAAGGAAGAACCCAGACCCAGACCAGTGGTCATTCCATATGTTGAGGGAGTATCAGAGAAACTGAAATGCTTATTTTCTAAACATAACGTCACAGTGGCTTTTAAACCCCAAAATACATTACGGCAAAGACTGGTTCATCCCAAAGATCCAGTCCCTCGGCACAGATTAATGTTGTGTATGCTGTTGTTGTGGCTTTTTACCACAATCGTGTTCAAGACAGCTGAGACGGTCACCTTAGTTCAAAAGATTTAATTGACAAACAGGAGTTACAGATATTCAGAGACAAACATTAACATTTGTAAAATATATGCATATATTTGGAGCATTAAAGAACAAACCGTCTCGGTGTGTGCTCTCCCGGAAATGCTCGCTGGGCATGTGTTATTCTTGGCTTTTATCAAAGTTTGAGAAGGCTAGCTTTTCTGATTGGTTTAGACCTGAGGTTGCTATGGTTACGGGTCTAGCCCGCCCCCTCAAGGCCCCCCTCTTACTGCATTCCAGAGATAAGTTTTATTGAAGCTTGGTTTCTTTGACTGCGTTTAGACTGTTAACACTCTGTTGTGGAGCATCTAATCATGAATTTATTATTAAGAGAGAACCTGAGGGATTTTACTTAGTCAAACTATATTAAGTCTAAATTAAAGAAATGTGTTCTAGGTTTTATTTATGTTAATCAGTGTGTGTGAGCGGCCAGGCCACCATGTGCTCAGAGAACAAAGAAGGACTCTTCCCTCCTGAGTTAGTCAGTAGTCAGTATCTTACCTGCCTCCTGGCTTATTTGATTGCTTGTAATATATCAAATGTGAACCTGTAAAATTATCATTAGCTAATATGAGATTATATGTAAAGGTAAAATAGTTAGAATTAGTAAACATTTTCTATAAATATAGTTCAACCCTTGAAGAAAGACACACACACACTTTGTATAACATGACATTTGAATGCTTGATAGGAAATATAAAAAGTTATAAAAATATGAAATCCAACACTGTTCAGTGTCAGGAGGGCTATGATCAGTCATACATCAGGGAAACTAAACAGCCACTGGCCAAAAGGATGGCCCAACACAGAAGATCAACATCATCAGGCCAGGACTCTGCGGTCTACACTCATCTCCAGGCCAGAGGTCACTCTTTCAGGGATGAAGATGTTCACATCCTGGACAGAGAGGAACGATGGTTTGAGAGAGGAGTAAAGGAGGCCATCTTTGTGAAAAAAAATCGTCCATCATTAAACAGGGGCGGAGCCTCCGTGTTCAACTGTCCCCCTCTTTCAATGCTGTAATTGCTAGTATCACTCAGCCTTCTGTGAATAGTAAACAGCCATCAGGTGCTAATGATCCATTGTTAGGCTGATGGTCCTTCTTGAGCATGTGATCAGCTGGTTCTGGTTGTCAGCAGCAAAACTGGTTGATCCACTCTGAGAAGGTGCTATTTAAGAGACTGAGCTGAATACAGCACCTCAGACTGAGGAAGTCTTTCGGATGAAAGACGAAACGTTTCTACATTTTTTTTGTTGTTTTGCTTTTTTTTTTTGAATGTCCAGAGGACCAGATTTAACTTTTTTAGATTTTTCTACCTGGATTATTGAGCATGCATCAGGATACTCTTGTATGTCTATAAATCACTAAACAGCTCTGCCCCCTCCTATCTTACTGATCTGCTCCAGCCGTATGTCCCACCACGTTCTCTCAGATCAGCAGACCAGTTGCTCCTAACAGTCCCAGGAACCAGTCTCAAGTGCAGAGGTGACAGGGCCTTCCCTGTAGCAGGACCAAGACTTTGGAATGAGTTACCTCTGCTGGTTAGACGGGCCCCCTCCCTCACAGTTTTTAAATCTTGCTTAAAAACACAGTTTTATTCCCTGGCTTTCAGCACTGTGTGATCTGTGCTGAGTCTGTGTGC